ACCATGAAAATAACATTTACATACATTAATAAATAATTAGAATGTGATTGGACGATTTTCATCAACAATAAAGAGTCTAAAATTTTTAATATAGTATTTATCGAAAAACTCAATTTTTCTCTAGGGGGAAAATTTTGTTTTAATGCATATTTGTATCATCAATCGAAATTGTATGAAGGTTTAAGAGGTTTGAGACCTTAAGTGTTGATATTTCTCCAGAAAATAGAATTTCTTTTTTAGGGTGTATTTCCATTAAGTAAGTGGTATATGAATTTTAAACGAATTACCTGTTGGAAAATTTGAAATGATGTCTATGTACCATGAAAATAACTTTTACATACATTAATAAATATTTATAATGTGATTGGGTAATTTTCATCATCATAAAGAGTCTAAACTTTTTAATATAGCATTTAACGAAAAACCCGATTTTCTGTAGGGGTTAACCCACATATTTCGAGAAAAATTAGAAAATATGAAAATTTTCTTTTAAAACATATTTGCATCATCAATCGAAATAGTATGAAGGTTTAAGAGGTTTGAGACCTTAAGTGTTCATGTTTCTCCAGAAAATAGAATTTCTTTTATAGAGTGTTTTTCCACTAAGTAAGTGGTATATGAAATTTAAATGAATTACCTGTTGGAAAATTTGAAATGATGTCCATGTACCATGAAAATAATTTTAACATACATTATTACAAATTTAGAATGTGATTGGGTAATTTTCATCAAAAATAAAGAGCCTAAACTTCTTAATATAGCATTTATCGAAAAACTTGATTTTCTATAGGGGTTAACCCACATATTTCGAGAAAAATTAGAAAATATAAATATTTTGTTTTAATGCATATTTGCATCATTAATTGACATAGTATGAATGTTAAAGAGGTTTTAGATCTTAGGTGTTTATGTTTCTCCAGAAAATATAATTTTTTTAATAGGGTGTTTTTCCATTAAGTAAGTGGTATATGAAATTTGAATAAATTACATGTTGGAAAATTTGAAATGATGTCTATGTACCATGAAAATAACTTTTACATACATTAATAAATATTTAGAATGTGATTGGGTAATTTTCATCAACAATAAAGACTCTAAATTTTTTAATATAGTATTTATCGAAAAACTCAATTTTCTGTAGGGGTTAACTCACATATTTCGAGAAAGATTACAAAATATGAAAATTTTGTTTTAATGCATATTTGTATCATCAATCGAAATAGTATGAAGGTTTAAGAGGTTTGAGACCTTAAGTGTTCATGTTTCTCCAGAAAATAGGATTTCTTTTTTAGGGTGTTTTTCCACTAAGTAAGTGGTATATGAAATTTAAATGAATTACCTGTTGGAAAATTTGAAATGATGTCCATGTACTATGAAAATAATTTTAAAATACATTAATAATTATTTAGAATGTTATTGGATAATTTTCATCAACATAAAGAGTCTAAACTTTTTAATATAGCATTTATCGAAAAACTCGATTTTCTGTAGGGGTTAGCCCACATATTTCGAGAAAAATTAGAAAATATGAAAATTTTGTTTTAATACATATTTGCATCATCAATCGAAATAGTATGAAGGTTTAAGAGGTTTGAGACCTTAGGAGTTCATGTTTCTCCAGAAAATAGAATTTCTTTGTAGGGGTTTTTCCACTGATTATGTGGTATATGAAATTTAAATATATTACCTTTTGGAAATTTTGAAATGATGTACATGTACCTTGAAAATAATTTTAACATACATTATTACAAATTTAGAATGTGATTGGGTAATTTTCATCAACATAAAGAGTCTAAACTTTTTAATATAGCATTTATCGAAAAACTCGATTTTCTGTAGGGGTTAACCCACATATTTCGAGAAAAATTAGAAAATATGAAAATTTTCTTTTAATGCATATTTGCATCATCAATCAAAATAGTATGAAGGTTTAAGAGGTTTGAGACCTTAAGTGTTCATGTTTCTCCAGAAAATAGAATTTCTTTTATGGGGTGTTTTTCCACTAAGTAAGTGGTATATGAAATTTAAATGAATTACCTGTTGGAAAATTTGAAATGATGTTCATGTACCATGAAAATAACTTTTACATACATTAGTAAATATTTAGAATGTTATTGGGTAATTTTCATCAACAATAGAGAGCCTAATCTTCTTAATATGGCATTTATCGAAAAACTCGATTTTCTGTAGGGGATAACTCACATATTTCGAGAAAAATTAGAAAAATTTGAAAATTTTGTTTTAATGCATATATGCATCATCAACTGAAATATTATGAAGGTTTAAGAGGTTTGAGACCTTAGGAGTTCATGTTTCTCCAGAAAATAGAATTTCTTTGTAAGGGTTTTTCCTCTGATTATGTGGTATATGAAATTTAAATATATTACCTTTTGGAAATTTTGAAATGATGTACATGTACCTTGAAAATAATTTTAACATACATTATTACAAATTTAGAATGTGATTGGGTAATTTTCATCAAAAATAAGGAGCCAAAACTTCTTAATATAGCATTTATCGAAAAACTTGATTTTTTATAGGGGTTAACCTTTCGAGAAAAAATAGAAAATTTAAAATTTTTGTTTTAATGCATATTTGCATCATTAACTGACATAATATGAATGTTAAAGAGGTTTTAGACCTTAGGTGTTTATGTTTCTCCAGAAAATAGCATTTTTTATAGGGTGTTTTTCCACTAAGTAAGTGGTATATGAAATTTAAGTAAATTACATGTTGGAAAATTTGAAATGATGTCTATGTACCATGAAAATAACTTTTACATACATTAATAAATATTTAGAATGTGATTGGGTAATTTTCGTCAACAATAAAGAGTCTAAAATTTTTAACATACCAATTATCGAAAAACTCAATTTTCTGTAGGGGTTAACCCACATATTTCGAGAAAAATTAGAAAATATGAAAATTTTGTTTTAANAAATTTGAAATGATGTCTATGTACCATGAAAATAACTTTTACATACATTAATAAATATTTAGAATGTGATTGGGTAATTTTCGTCAACAATAAAGAGTCTAAAATTTTTAACATACCAATTATCGAAAAACTCAATTTTCTGTAGGGGTTAACCCACATATTTCGAGAAAAATTAGAAAATATGAAAATTTTGTTTTAACGCATATTTGTATCATCAATCGAAATAGTATGAATGTTTAAGAGGTTTAAGACCTTAAGTGTTCATATTTCTCCAGAATTTTTATAGAGGTTTTTCCACTAAGTAAGTTGTATATGAAATTTAAATGAATTACCTGTTGAAAAATTTGAAATAATGTCCATGTACCATGAAAATAACTTTTACATACATTAATAAATATTTAGAATGTGATTGGATAATTTTCGTCAATAATAAAGAGCCTAAACTTCTTAATATGGCATTTGTCGAAAAACTCAATTTTTTGTAGGGGGATAATCCACATATTTCGAGAAAAATTAGAAAATATGAAAATTTTGTTTTAATGCATATTTTCATCATCAACTGAAATAGTATGAAGGTTTAAAAGGTTTGAGACCTCAGGTGTTCGTGTTTCTCCAGAAAATAGAATTTTTTTTATAGGGTATTTTTCCACTAAGTAAGTTGTATATGAAATTTAAATGAATTACCTGTTGGAAATTTTGAAATAATGTCCATTTACCATGAAAATAACTTTTACATACATTAATAAATATTTAGAATGTGATTGGATAATTTTCGTCAACAATAAAGAGCCTAAACTTTTTAATATGGCATTTGTCGAAAAACTCAATTTTTTGTAGGGGGATAGATAACCCACATATTTCGAGAAAAATTAGAAAATATGAAAAAAAAGATTTTAATGCATTTTTGCATCATCAACTGAAATAGTATGAAGGTTTAAGAGATTTGAGACCTTAGGTGTTCATGTTTCTCCAGAAAATAGAATTTTGTTTATAGGAGGTTTTTCCACTGATTAAGTTGTATATGAATTTTAAATAAATTACCTGTTGGAAAATTTGAAATGATGTACATGTACCATGAAATTAATTTAATATACATTAATACAAATTTAGAATGTGATTGGGTAATTTTCATCGAAAATAAAGAGCCTAAATTTCTTAATATAGCATTTATCAAAAATCTTGATTTCTAGAGAGGTTAACCCACATATTTCGAGAAAAAATAGAAAATTTAAAAAATTTGTTTTAAAGCATATTTGCATCATTAACTGACATAGTATGAATGTTAAATAGGTTTTAGACCTTAGCTATTTATGTTTCTACAGAAATTAGAATTTTTTTTATAGGGTGTTTTTCCACTAAGTAAGTGGTATATGAAATTTAAATAAATTACCTGTTGGAAAATTTGAAATGATTTCCATGTACCATGAAAATAACTTTTACATACATTAATAAATATTTAGAATGTGATTGGGTAATTTTCATCAAAAATAAAATTTAAAATTAATTTCTGAAATGTATATAGCACAAATATGTTGCAAACTTTATAACTAAAATTTAAAATTAATTTCTGAAATGTATATGGCACAAATATATAGTTATGTAACATGACCTATTTAATATGGTTACCAAAAATTATATTTAGTTAAATTAATATTTAACACAAATATGATTAAAACACACACAAATATAAAAAGGAATTCTCAAGAAAGATTAAAACAAAAATTATATCCGCTCGTCCAAAAGACGGGTCAATATCTAGTTAATTACTTAAAAAGTTTCAAATGAGTGTTGTGCTTTCCTTGTAAATGCAAGCAGGTGGCAATTTAGGGGAAAAAAGGTGAAGAAGGAGGGTAAAGATGTAAAAAGCGGGATTGAAGTAAGTTAAATAGAGAGAGAGAGAGAAGAGCATATCGGTTTTCACTCCCGTCCTAAAGCTCGACTCAGTCTCCGGCGAAATTATCTCTCCTGAAAATAAAAATAAAGACAAGAATTTCTCTGTCTCTTTTATTGACACCCCCCCCCCCACACATTTCAATCAATTTATTAAGGGTCGAAGAAGAAGATGACGTCGGAGCTGACATACCGGCGGCGACACAACGAGATGGAGCAACCAGCCGCCTACTATGGGAAGCCAATGAAGTTGATCCATTACATGCTCAGGGAACAGAGACTCGTATTCGTTCTCGTCGGCATTGCAATCGCCACCGTAGCTTTCACTCTTTTCTCTCCATCCCCCATTCCCATTCCCATTCCCATTCCTCACTACTCCGATCAGCTTTCCATGAGATCGGAATCATCATCGTTAGCTCAGAGTAGGAGGATAGAGTACCTAACCGGTGGGATGGGATCGGTGGGAGGGAAAATCCCCCTGGGTCTGAAACGCAAAGGTCTGCGTGTGGTGGTGACGGGTGGAGCCGGTTTCGTGGGGTCACACCTGGTGGACAGGTTGATGGCCAGAGGAGACAAGGTGATCGTCGTCGACAACTTCTTCACGGGGAGTAAAGAGAACGTTATGCACCATTTCGGTAACCCAAACTTCGAGCTCATCAGACACGACGTCGTTGAACCTATCCTTCTTGAGGTTGATCACATCTACCATCTCGCCTGCCCTGCTTCTCCCGTTCACTACAAGTTCAATCCTGTGAAGACGATCAAGACGAATGTGGTGGGGACGTTGAACATGTTGGGGCTGGCGAAGAGAGTGGGAGCTAGATTCCTGCTCACCAGTACCAGTGAGGTGTACGGTGATCCTCTCCAGCATCCTCAGGTTGAGACTTACTGGGGCAACGTTAATCCCATCGGTAACTTTCCCTTCATCCGACTCTGAAAACGCGCGTTACTGGTTTCTATACAAACGTTACGTGTTAGCCACGTTTCCAGATGTTGTCTCTTTCTTACGTGTGTGGTCTTAAAAGAAAAAAAAAGAGCTCACGTTAGCAGCAGAGCGTATAGAAAATTGATAGGATCAAACTAATTTCACTCGAACAACTTACTTCTATATTTTTTTGACAAGTGTGTTGTTTGTTAACGACATGGCGCAGGTGTTAGGAGTTGTTACGATGAAGGCAAACGTACGGCGGAGACATTGGCCATGGACTACCACAGAGGAGCCAATGTTGAGGTTAGGATAGCTCGAATCTTCAATACTTATGGGCCAAGGATGTGTATTGATGACGGTCGTGTGGTTAGCAACTTCGTTGCCCAGGCAAGTCTTTCTTTATTCATAAAAATGAAAATAGGATAATGAGCTATGAGATTACATGAAGGTTGATTTGAGTGTGTGTTAGATCACGTAATGATTTGTGCAGGCATTAAGAAAAGAGCCATTGACTGTATATGGTGATGGTAAGCAGACACGGAGTTTCCAGTTTGTCTCTGATCTGGTAAACTCCCCCCCTCCCTTATTCCACCTTTTTACCTCCCTTTACTACTTTTTTGTCTCTCCATTATTACCTTGGATTGATTGGTGTTGATTGAGTATTATTGGTAAACTTGAATGTGATTAGGTGGAGGGTCTGATGAGGTTGATGGAAGGAGAACATGTTGGCCCCTTTAACCTTGGTAACCCTGGTGAATTCACCATGCTTGAGCTCGCTAAGGTGGTTCAAGAGACGATAGACCCGAACGCAAAGATAGAGTTTAGACCAAACACAGAGGACGACCCACACAAGAGGAAACCAGACATTACAAAGGCCAAAGAACTTCTTGGTTGGGAACCAAAGGTGGCTCTCCGCCAAGGACTCCCACTTATGGTCCAAGATTTCCGTCAACGTGTCTTTGGCGACCAGAAGCAGGACACCACCACTTCTTCATCAACAGAATAAACATACTATTAAGTAGAACTCCTATATAAACAGCCCATAACTAAATGACCGCCATAGCAGCAGGAATCATAGCAGCAGCCCATAACTCCTTTTCGTTATTTTTTGCTAGTCCCTTGGTCAATGTAGTGGATATTGTCGGACCTCAAATCGATTTTTAAAGCTTTTCATTATTTTTACCGTAGTTTGGTCATGCCGCTCATACGTAAACTGATGTTTGATCAACACACATGAAATTAATCATGTGGGGGGGGGGGGGGGGGGGCTAACAACCTCAGAAAAGGTCAGTTAAAGGGGGCGTATAAATATAATAGTCAGTCATCCCCATAACTCATACATATATATAGCAACAAGGCACCATAAAAAAAAGCCAAAACTCAACACAAACAAGTCGATCTTTAATCTCAACCATCAATCCTCCTACGGACTAACAAATCCTTAATCTACATACAAGAACAAGCATCACTATTTATTTCACGTACGTATATGATCCCAACGTTTGGCAATACCGCCACTAAACGCACTTTGCAATACGCTAATCCTCTCTTGGAGAATTGTTTCCTTTACACCCTCCATCACTTTCTCTTCCGCATCCATTATCGCTTCCAACTGCTCCAGAAACTTCAACTTGCTCTTCATCTTCTTCACCTGCATTTCAATCAAAACATAACGACAGGATGGGTCACGACAGACACAAGACAGTGGAAGGATACACACAAAACTAACCAACCTACCTGTTGGTCAATTACACTCGCAGCTAACTGTTCCATCTCTCTCTCTTCTTGATCAGCCAACATTTTTGCATGAGCAGCCGCAGCTCCAAGAGCTGTTGCCACCGACACTCTCATCCTTAAACCTACGGGTAGCTCCTCAATCCCCTCTGCATAGTTATTAATACGTCTTATAAAATCCAAAAACGTCTTGACCTTTCATTCTAAACCGGGTAACACTAATAGGATAATAATAGCAGAAGTTACCATTCTCTTCTTGCTGTTTCTCCATATTTGATGTATCTTTGTCTCCAACAGATCTGTGAAATGTCAAAAAGTTTTAGATTAGACCTGGCAACGACACAAAAAGCCAATTTTTTTGGTTGGAGAGTCGAACTTGTCAGCTGCAGAATTTTTGTAATCACAGGCAGATTCGAAAATATCTTTTGGACAAGAGGCTTCATCACAAAGAGCTGCAATTGCAGCGCTTGCAGCAGCGGTTGTGACAGATGGACCAACTTTGCATGCCATTGCTGCTACCTGTTGTAGAATATGCAAAAACATGTTTACCCCTTTTTGAAATTTCGATTCCACTCAAGTCAGCAGCGTTATATATAGATGAACACAAGGCAAAATAGTTATCAACCTGTTTCATAAGTGAATTATCACCATCTGATATAAGTGCAGCACGTTTCCTTTTTGCTGGAGGCTCATCATCTTCATCGATTTGATCTTCTTCCTTTTCTTCCCTCGTCTCTGTTTCCTTGTGTTGTTGACCGTCAGTTTTCATCTGCTGTTCTGCAAGATTAGATGGAGACGAAAGGTTTTCATCCTCGGTGGTGATAGAGGATCTGAGTCTTCCAGAAGCAGAGCGCATCAGAAACTCTCCAAAGGGGAGCTCAATGAGCTTGGAGATACAGTCAAGTCTAGTCTTTGTAGAAACACTTTGGTCAATGAGTTCCCAATCGTCTCCATGTTTGAGAACAGATTCTAGCAAGAGGAGGGTCTCTTCCTCGGTCCACGCAGAACTCCCAATCAGCTTGAAATCATTTGCGGAATTGTTCTCCCCATAGTCTTCATTCTTGAAACACTTATCGCATAAGTTGACATTACTCTGCCAAACATCATAATGTTAAGAAAACAGACAAGTAAAAGATGAAGAAACATACATGGTATGTAATCCATAAACATAAAAAAAATCAACCTTGTCATTGTGTTCATAGAAAGAAGCAGAATCACGAGGACAATGCTCTCCACAATGCCCACAAAGCAATGCATCACTACTAGGCTTGTTGAAAACATCAGAATAAGAGGTCAGCGGGGGAGATTTGAGGGCAGGCTCAGCTCGTTCCTCAACAAAGGGAGGTACGGTAACAGGCCTCATGGAATTTGGAGTAGCAGTGATTCGAATCCCAGAGGGAGTCCCTTGTTCGATCTTAGCTGAATAAATCTCCTCCATGGTAAACAAGGAATGATCATCGCTGCTTTTGTTGAGGAGGTAGTTGATCAAACCCCATTTTTCGAGGAAGAAAAACACTTTGCGAAGCAAATTGACATCGCCGATGAGGTACTTGCGGATGCTGGTGAAGGTGAGAGAGCGAGAAGAGTCTTCCCTGTACTTGTTGATTATGAAATCTCTGTACTCCTTGTATACCTTTGGGGTTCTAGTGATGGAGCTCTCACTGAAGAACTCCGAGAACTCGCGTCTTTCGATTTCGTGTATATCATCCCATATGAACCAACCTAAATCACCACCACCATTAACAAACATACACAAATTTAATTTCAGACGGGGAACGAAACCAAACCGAGTGGAAAGAATCTAAAAGGATGTTCTCCGAAAGAGAGCTAAACACAAAGTAAGAACACATACTGGATTGAGCAGGGATGTTGTATAGCTCAAGCTCTCCCTCTTTGCAACTGCTTCGATCATTAGTACTCACTTCCATATTGCAACCTCCAAATCTATTATGCAGCCATCGCTATGTCTCAACTCCAAATCCAAGCTTCCGACACGATATAAATAAAATCAAAAGGGTTAATTTCCTAAATACTCATAACCTTGCTGGAACTCCGTTTAAATTTTGATACGATTAAAATTACAATAACCAGGCCCAACAAACTGTTTAGCTCTTTGCCACAAAGCCCATAAATCAATACCATTCATTATATTTCACTTTCTACCCCCAACATATTTTGACAAAGATTCATTTGATGAGGCACATTGTAAAGAGTGTCTTTAATCACCTATTTAAGCTCTCTTTTTGCTAAAGAGACATTAAATGGCTGAGAGAGACCAAAATGATACTTAAGCTTGAACAAGATGGAAACAGTCTGAAGAAAGTGCAGATGAAACAGTCTGAAGAAAGTGCAAAACATCCATTTAAAAAAAACAAAGAGTTCCAACAGCTAAACAAAAAAAGTTCTATTAAAGTTTTACGAGAATCTCAGCAAATGAATTTCACAATAAGAAAAAGATGCTTTCTTAGTTCATCCTTTGGGCAGCCTCTTTTGCAAGAACTCTTTCCTTGGCCTTTGTCTTCGCCTGTGACTTGGATCCCATTATGCCTCCTCCCCATTTCTTCCTGTACTCCTCGTACTTGTCGTTGAAGTTTGCCTACACACACCAAAACCAAAAGTTTAAACATCATCTCATAGTAGTCAAGAGTATAAACATTTATATTGTCAACACAAGACTCTTTTTTTTTTACCTTGATGGCCTCAAGGATCTTGCTGAACTCTAGCTTGTCCTCGTTCTTGACAGTGGTCAAACACAAGCAAGCAGCAGTCTTCTGGTGAACGACCTGGATTGTACATGGAGAATATTAATAAAGGGTTAGAGTGTGCAGAATATGAAATGTAAAACCGATGAAGAGAGAGGCAGAGTTTATAATAAAATATACCGTTCCAAGACGAGATTTGCCTTTAACAATGCAGTAAGGGACTTCCATCTTTCTGCAAAGAGCAGGTAACCAGACGACCAACTCGATGGGGTCAACATCGTGGGCAATGACAACAAGCTGTGCCTTGTTCTGCTCGATGAGGTAAGTGACGTGGTTGAGACCATACTTGACGACAATGGGCTTCTTGGATTCAGAAGGCTTTCCCTCAGTCTCGGCTTGAGCCTTTTTCAGAAGCCGATCCTTCTTTGCGGCCTTGTCCTCTGGCCTATACTTCATAAGGACCTTGAAAAGCTGGGTTGCTGCCAAATTATAAGAATTACAGTATTTGAGTAATTATATAACAAGCTAATTGTCAAAAGAATGTTGAAGAAAGAGAGAGAGTTACCAAGGTTCTTGTCGAGAGTCTTGGTGAACTGGTTCAAAGCCGGAGGGACCTTGAGCCTCTGCTTGAGGATACGCTTCTGCCTTTGGAGGCGGATAGACTTGGGCCATTTGATGTAGCGAGTAAGATCCTTCTTTGGAGGAAGAGCTCCACCGATACCAAATTGCTTGGGCCTCCTCTCGAATAGAGGGTTCGTTACTTTCTCCTGCAAAACATTACAGAAACTCCAATGAAACATGTTTGAATAATGTTGGAGAAAAATATGAAAAGGAAATGATGAGATGATACCGTCTTCTTCTTGGCAGCTACCTTCACTCCTTTCTTCGGTGCCTACACCCAAATCGTAGTGTAATTAGATCAAATGGACATGATGACAGACATACAATTCATAGGGACGCTCTTCTACTAAATCTAAAGTGATTCATTAGCTCTCTTATACCGAATCTCATAACAATCACCAAAACCTAACAAGTTCAGTAATGCTCTTCTTCACAGTCAGCATAAAGAAATCTATGTTGTGTGTTCAAGCGAACGCATCCAGGGAACACTGCAGGCTAATGCCAGATGAATTAAAAACTAAACTCGTTGATCCTACCATGGAAACAAACAGCTAAATGTTCCAAATCAAGGGAGCGCAAAAGAAGAAGAACAAAAGAGCGAAGAGAGATCTACCATCGTCGTCCTCCTCCTGTGCTGCAACTCCAAATCCAAATGATGCGAAACTGACGGCCGAGTGAAAAGGAAGTGTATTCCTTAGGGTTTTGCATTATATATAGTACACCATTGGTAGGGTTTCTTTTTTTTATCCAAGCTCTTTTTTTTTAAACCAAGCACCAAATTACGTATATACCCTTATTTCGCTTTATCTCTAGCTTTGTTACGACCGTATTTATTTTTCACGTTGCATTAGTTGCATGTCAGCAATTTAAGTATTTTAAATGTTCTTTATTCCTTCAAGTTTTATTAGTTGAGGGAAGATTTTAACAACCAGTTTTTTTTTGTCTGCGTCCCAAAAATAAAATTACAGATTTAGACTCAAAATTCTTGCTACTAAAAGAAAATTGGCTGCATTGTAAGACTTGAGCGACTATAAATCCAATTACATTGCGTGTTTACTATTTAGCATTCATTATGATATCACAATAAAATGACACTCTATAGTTATGACGTCCCTTGGATGACATAGCTCCAAATAACATATGGAAAAAAAAATGGTAAATCATTCCCCAGAAAAAGAATATGAAAACTCTAGTAACTACGCGTTATGAAAATTTGGTGTAGTATAGATTCGAACTCAGATCCCTTTAGAATCCACATAACGTTTTGACTACCTGACTACTACATACATGCAGGGGCGGATGTAGGTGGTGGTTCACGGTGTCACGTGACACCGTCTATTTTTCAAAAAAAAAAATTTGTATATAGTTATATATGTATACGATGAATAGATAGGAAACGTATGTAGATAAAAACTTATTTTTAATGAAATCATTACCCAACCAAATACAATTGTAGCCCAATTTAAAATACAAAGCCCAATAAAAGAAGTGTAATAATTCTGAAATTTTGACCTAGCTAGTTTCACGTCTTCTTCTTCTTCTTTCATTCTGTTTTCTTCTTTTTTCCAATTAAAGGTTTTTACTTCCAATCACAATAATACTCTAAATAATACATAGGTAATGAGTTCTATATTAAATTATCATTGCTTTTTAAATCTGTACCTTTGTTTTTTTGTCTAGTTTAAGTTAGTACAATACTTAATTAATAAGAAAAGTTATGAAAACTTAGAATCTAGAATTGTGGTTTGTTAACAGTTTTTTTTTTGTTGCAGTTAAAGTTTCAATGGAAAAATATTTCAAACCCAAAAAAAAGTTTGAATCTGTGTCTACTACTGAAAATGATTTGGAGGATTTACCTTATGATCCAGGAGAAAGGAAAAGAATATCAGAATATCCTGCAAATCAAAGAGATAAGGTAATACGCAGATATCTTCTTAGAGGTCCTTGTCAATCTCGTGGTCATGAATTTCCTAAAAGAATGTTTACAAATAAATTGAGGCGATTCAATCAGTCTTGGTTTGATCTCTATGGTGATTGGTTGGAATATAGTGTGAAAAAGGACAAAGCATTTTGTTTGTTCTGCTACTTGTTTAGAGATTACACTAAAAATAAGGGTGGAAGTGATGCGTTTGTGATTACTGGCTTTGGTGATTGGAACAAGGCTGGGAGATTACATGATCATGTTGGAGCAGTGAATAGTTTTCACAATAGTGCATTGAAAAGGGTTGATTATTTTATGAGACCGGAACAATCAATTGTTCATGCTTTTTATAAGCAAGATGACGCGATTAAAAATGAATACCGGATCAGATTGAATGCTTTAAATGATTGTGTTGTTTGTTTTGTTGAGAAAGAGTTGTTTGAGAAAGTAACAAATGAAGCTGTGATAAAAAGATTCCAGAAAATGGAATCACGTAGGATTAATTTGTAAGTTGTTTTTCTTTTAAAAATTTTATTCTATAAAGGAGTTTAGTTATAAGTGACATCGTGACCCCGGTAAAAAAATGTTCTAGATCCGCCCCTGCATACATGTGGTTCCTAATAACATATGATAGAATGACGACCAACACATATTTTGGACAACTGGACTTCCACGAATTACACGTGATACGAACAAGAAGGTGGATTGGTGCTAATGTCACACATCAACTATATACTATAAAAATAGCTAAGCCAAGCAAAGTGCACATCAACTACTTGGTATCACCTCTGTTATTATTATTTGCTTACGCGTTCATATATATCAGGTCATTTTCTCTCAATAAGAAAAGAAAATGATACCATAAGTTTCACACACAAATATAAATATATAGATATAGTGCCGGCCCTGCAGATGGGAAGCACACCAAACACCAGCGTCCAGCACATCAAAAAAACTTGAACAAAATCAGCCTTTTTTAAAAAAAAATTATTGATATATTACTTAAGCTAAAAATATATTTAATAGACCAATTTTTAGAAAAGTTGCTTGTGGTCTTTGGCATGCCAAGACCGGCACTGAATATATATAGGTTCGGGGACGTAAATCCAATATTACTCACTTATGGTTTCACGTGAGACACTTAAAGCAAAAATTGTATATATGGTTCACAAAAAAAAAGGAAACATTTCCAAGGATACGTATATATATCTACACATTTATTGTCAAAAAGTATATATGAACATATACGAGCAGATGTTGTGTGAAAGAATATATGCACATATAAATCGTAAGACTAACATCTTCATGCTATATTTTCTTTGATCTTGTAAGCAAATGTTTCAATGTCAAATATATATTGATCTTTCTAGTTTACACGTGATAAATAAGAAGGTGGATTGCTGTCAATCTCACACATCAGCTACTATTAAATGCTTTATAACAACAAATGACAATGATTTTTTATTTTGGAAAATCAATGACGATGACTTTTGCTTGTGCCTTTAAGTGTACCAGCCATCAAGTATTGGTTCTTAACGTATATCATGAGTTACACCAAGTTTGTTCGTAGATATATCAGAGCATCCACATCAATGAACCCCCTCTTGGGATTCATTGAATCAATTTTTTATTATTAAAAATTTTCTATTTTTTTTTTGAATTATTTTTTTTTTTAAAAAAGAAAAAAAAAGGACCTAAACCAATCCTGGATCGACACGTGTTGAACCTTAGGAGAGAGGGGTTCATCCGGGTGAACTTTAGGAGAGAGGGGTTCATAGATTTTTGTTATTTTATTATTTTATTTTTTTGGTTTCCGTGTGAACCCCCATTTGAACTCTCAATGGGGGTGCTCTTATATATCTACTAAGGTTTCGGGGACGCAATTCCCAAAACTAGTCTAGTACTCGGTGAACATATATGTGGGGATTTTGGTTTCACGTGAGACTTAAAAGAAATTTTTTTGCCAAGCATATATATATATCAGCTAGGTAGGGGCATAATTCTCAAAAGTCAAAACTAATGGTCTGAGCATGTGAGATATTTTTGTGAGCAAATGTTTCAAGGATGATATAAAAAAAAAGATCACTAATCTATTGGCAGAAATAAATTTATCATATGAAAAAATAGTGCCTAATTGTATATTTTAGGTATTATGTCATTCTTCAAATGAATAAAAAATTAGAATTAGGGTCATGATATTCTTATAACTTACCAAATTAAGGCGAGAAAGATAAATCACACGAAGTCAACAATGACCACGAATCAGATGTAGCCAGGTGTCGGTCACAGATCCGTGCAGAGATACAATTATGGAAGAGTCATGCAGGGAGGGATTGATTTACAAGAAAATATAAATGGCTCGCAAGTCGCCACCGCCAAATCCAATCATCAACTTCTCTTCTCGGAAATTTTCTTCCGTGATCGGCGGATTGTGAATGCCGTTCACTGAAATTTTATCCGGTACGTTAGCATTGATCTATTTCTTCCCCGTTTTCGTTACTCTGTTTCATCAGATTTACCTTCTTCGTGATATGCTCTGTTCTAACTTGGCTGAGATTTGTTCGTGACCATCCCATCTGTGGGGTTTAGGTTTTCAAACATCGTGGAATGAAAAATCCAAGTTTCGATCTCTTGATTTTTTAGATTACTCACTCACTGTGGAACATGCAATTGTTGATTTTATATGTTAGATTTGCAGAGCTTTTTATTTTCTGGTCATAGGATCCTTTACCACTGTTTTATGGATTCTCTGGAGAAGATTAATATCTATTGCATGCTCTGTTTGTTTCGATTAGTCCAACAAAGAGATTCTAATCTAGCCGCCTCTTTTCATGTGCTAGATTATTTTCCCCAGTGAGAACATCTACAAATGGCCTCGATTCTTAACCAGACTCAAGAACTGCAGGAATCTTCCAAGGTTCTCGGCCATGTAAGATGTCAAAGCTACTTTCTCTTCTCCGGAGAAAGTAGTTTATCTGATGCTTCCAGAGCTGTCTTATACTTTCTTGGTCTTGCCTACTGCTTTATCGGCTTGTCAGCCATCACCGCAAGGTTCTTCAAATCTATGGAGAATGTTGTTAAACATTCACGCAAAGTTGTTTCAGTTGACCCTGTTACTAAAGCTCAAGTCATCACCTACAAGAAAGTTTGGAACTTTACCATTGCTGACATCAGTCTGTTGGCATTTGGAACTAGCTTTCCTCAGATTTCTCTGGCTACCATTGATGCTTTTCGGAACATGGGGGAGCGCTATGCTGGAGGTCTGTTCTTGTACTTCTAAAACTCTTCACGCCTTGAAAATTCTCACACATTGATTTCTTTGTATTATAGGTCTTGGTCCTGGAACACTTGTTGGCTCAGCTGCTTTTGATCTTTTCCCAATCCACGCTGTTTGTGTCCTGATGCCAAAAGCTGGAGAACTCAAAAAGATATCCGATTTAGGCGTTTGGCTAGTCGAGCTTGTTTGGTCTTTTTGGGCTTACATTTGGCTCTACATTATCCTCGAGGTGTAGTGTTTACTGTGAAAGCTGTCTAGTCTAAATATATTCTGTTGAGTTTTGTACTCAATGAACGTGGTCTAAGATGGTGTTTCTTTTCATAGGTGTGGTCACCAAATGTAGTTACACTTGTGGAGGCACTTTTAACGGTCTTGCAATATGGTTTACTTCTAGTTCACGCGTATGCGCAAGACAAGCGATGGCCTTACTTGTCTTTACCAATGTTGGTTTCTTCTCCAGCCTATAGTATTAGTTTCTGCAAAATGGATTTCCGCTAATGATTGAATCTTTCTCCTTGTAATATGATAATCGAAGGTCAAGAGGTGATAGACCAGAGGAGTGGGTTCCAGAGGAGGTTGATACACCAAAAGATGACAATGATGTTCATGACGTGTATTCGGATGCTGCTCAGAGAGCTGTTGAATCAGGAAACAAAAACATTGTTGATATCTTCTCTATTCATTCAGCTAGCAATGATACAGGTAGTTTTAGCTCAAGTTCCAAAGCCGCGTGTATTTGCATTTATCTCTGTTGTATTTCAAATTTCCCTCTAACAAACACTTTTGCAGGGATCACCTATCACACAGTGGCAGATAATTCACCAGAATCTTCGACTAAGAAGGTTAAGGCAAAGAAGAATGCTACTGTTTTCGACACTTGGAAACATCAATTCGTAGATGCTATCACGGTAAGCATCTTCAACTTACCGTGTGCTTTTAGATCATCATCAATACAAGTTTCTTAACTTGTTTCTCTTCCAATTCCTTAATCAAACAGTTGGAATCATCAGAATCGAAGAAAGTTGATAGCATTTACCTTCGAATAGCCAAATCCTTTTGGCAATTAGTCCTTGCCCCCTGGAAAATTCTTTTTGCATTTGTGCCTCCTTGCAACATTGCTCACGGTTGGATCGCTTTTATCTGCTCGCTTCTCTTCATCAGCGGAGTAGCCTTTGTTGTCACAAGACTTACCGACCTTATAAGCTGTGTCACTGGTACACACTCTGAGAAGTTCCATCGAAAGTTTGAACATATTAGCGCTTGAACATTTATAACTTTCTTTTCTTCCGGGTGTGCAGGTATAAACCCATATGTGATAGCATTCACAGCACTCGCAGCTGGAACTTCATGGCCAGATTTAGTAGCAAGTAAAATTGCTGCAGAGCGACAACTCACTGCTGATTCAGCTATAGCAAACATCACCTGCAGGTTTTTAAAATAAAAAACTCAGTACCCATTTCAAACAAATCAAAAAGATGTTCACCAATGATCTTATTCTTTTTTTTGGTGATATATTTTTTTTGGCAGTAACTCGGTGAACATATATGTGGGGATTGGAGTTCCGTGGCTGATAAACACAGTGTACAACTACATTGCATACAGAGAGCCTCTATACATAGAAAATGCTAAAGGACTAAGCTTCTCTCTACTAATATTCTTCGCGACATCGGTGGGATGTATCGTGGTGCTTGTGTTGAGAAGGTTGATTATAGGAGCTGAGCTTGGAGGTCCAAGGCTGTGGGCTTGGCTTACTTCTGCTTATTTCATGATGCTTTGGGTCGTCTTCGTTGTTCTCTCTTCTTTGAAAGTTTCAGGCATCATATAGAATAAGAAGAAAAGCCAAAATGTGTAAGGAGAAAGGAGTTGCCTGTCTGTTAGGGGGTTCTTATAATATGCAAGGCAGGTGGCTAAACATGTGTAACAAATTTTAAGCATACTAAAGCTGAACTCGGATTGGGTCATTGGCGATATAGAAACGTCTATCAAATCTAAGGGTGTAAATTTTTCTACGATCCATTCACAAATGTTTTTTAATTAAAAAATAGTAGTTCGGACTGCATATTTGATCATTTTCGTGTACTTTTACTTGTAATAGTATCATTCATACATTCTTAATCCTCTGAACTTGGTGATAACCCCAACCGATTGTATCACAAATGTTTAGAACTAGAAAGCGACAACTTGGTCAAACAACCAAAATGAGCTTATAATTCAGTTTCCGGACAGTCAGGTTTCAAAAGATGTAGCAGTTAAAGTCCTGCCTCCGATAGCAGAAAAATTCACAAGTACAAAAACAATGGCATACACCAGATGAGTTTTATTTTCTAAGATTTTAAGCAAGAGCGCCTGTACAGGCTGTAGCAGGACCAGCCTCAACCTGCGTCTTGGCCGAGCTGTACTTCTTGGTTATAAACCTGTTGACAAGTATCAAAAAATAACAAGGATATATTCAGACAAAAGACAAATTATACATGTTTGATAAGTTAAAGAAAGCAGGAGCTGACCTGAAGAAATCTCTCCATTGCAACTCATACATTAACCAGTTCAATCCCGTATCTCCGGGTCCGTTCCTGATAAAATCATTTGGAAGTATTTGTAAAATTAGAGACATTAATATGTCCACCTCGGTTTAACAGATTTCCTTAAGGTGAAGTATTTATATACCTTGGAGTAGAGGATGCAGAAATAGTTTTCTTGAGCTCCTCGAACATGGAACGAGGAGAGATGCTTCCCATGGCCAACCAAGGTGATATCTTGCAAGAGAAGTTAGCACCAAACACACTGTTATTACCTCCTTTCTGATTTCCCTTGGTCAGTCGAGCTTGACAATCAGCTGCAAAGCTCTTTAGCCTACTCAACGCCTCACTCTCTCCTCCAACCATTGTCGGTTTCCCCTCCTAAGACAGAAAAAAATGTTTTTAACTCTTAAACCATATGTGTAAGACTAAGACAAGGTATCAACTTGATAAGGTTTCCACCTCTCTAAATGCTAAAACATAGGAATCAAATAAAGCTCAAACCTGGCTGTTTCTGGCAGTAGGGCTAATGCCGAGGTCCAAGAGAGAAGGAATATCGCCAAGCTGTACGTCTCCTCGAGAGGGCAAGCCTTTCAACTGATCCAATGCTGCGATCGTCTTCCTAATCTCAAGCTTCTGGACTTTATCCTTGAATGCTCCATAGTTTGAAGGCAGTTCTTCAACTTTGAACGGCAAATCGTCCAAGTGATAGAGAGTGGATCCCCAAAAGAACTTAACTTCAACGCCTTCCTCCTTCATAGCATTCTCTATCTTCCCTTCCGCCTTAACCTCATCATGCGACACTTCCCTGTGTGCATAAATGGCGTCCGCTCCGATCTCCTTAGCCAATTCCACCAGCACAGCTTCCGGTTTCCCGACCCGGACAACGAGGTTGGAGCCTCTGGCCTCGAGGTTCTTGCGGAGCTCGGAGACGGACTCGATGAGAAACTGGGCACGGAAGGGACCAGTTTTGTCGAAACCAGAGGAGGATTTGCCGTAGTCTCGAGGGTCGAAGCAGTAAACGGGGAGAAGGGAGAGGCACTCGTCGTTGGCGGAGTTGAGACACTCGTTGTCGTGGACGCGGAGGTCGTTTCGGAACCAGACGACGGCGGAGCGGCGGAGGGCGGCGGCGGAGGAAGGGTCGAGGGGGCGGCGAGGGACGATGGAGAGAGGGGAGTGGAGAGGGTTAGCGGAGACGGTGGATTTGAAGGAGGAGATTCTGGAAGGGAGAGGAGAAACGGGAGAGAGGGAAGAAAGGGAGAGGTGTGTGAGGTAAGAGGCCTGCGTTGGGATCTTAACCTTGTTTGGGTGATGAGCAAAGAGATGACTGAATCTAAACAAAGACGTTGTTGAGAAGGAGAGAGATAGCGAGGCGAATGGTAGAGATGAAGTGACAATGGCGAGTGCTTCTTCTGTCGATTTGGTTTCTGGCTTTTGGTTTTCTTCCACCACATTCGAATCCATCTTTAATTTGGGGATTAGAAAGAAGAAGAGAAAAGAGTGTGTGTAGAGTGAGGACGATAAGCTATCCTCGATTCTCTCTTCCTCTTTTTCTTACCACACCAAATTCATTTCTGTTTACTCATATTATTTTTATTTCTTTGGGTCATCAACTATCATTTCATTCAAGCCCAATGGGTATCAAAGGTTACAAGGTGAAAAGAAGAAAAGGCCTAAACATGTTTTATTTTTTCAGTAGAGATTTTGGTTTCCTGTTGACATTTAAAAGAAAAAAAGATTTTCTATACCTATTTAATTATTACTTTACCTCTGTGAACATTTACATTCAGATGTTATTTTATTTTGAAACCACATTCTTATAAGTAAACTAACTTAGACTTCACAAAGGCAAAGCTTGCATATTAAGAGAGATGAAATTTTGTAATCTTTTGCTGTACAAGTTTCTCTTTGCTATACATTAATTTCCACTGTTATTGATCACTTCTTTCACATATATTAAAAAAATTAATACCTGTTATATATACTCTTGCTTGTATAATATCACAAGAGGAACTCACACCTGAAACAAACAAAATATATTCAAACTATTCGACACCAAAGACAAGAATATCTATTAGTATTAAGCTAATGCAAAGCTTCCTAATGTAGTAGTTAATTATCCTTATTCACGAATGATTTCGGCACTGGAAAACAAAAAACAAAAACCAGAAACTGATGCGTCAACTTAAATGTCAAGAAAGGTTGAAACCTTTTCTTCAGCTAGCAGTAAAACATTCAAAAAACTTCATTATTAGTCTCATTCTCGAGAACGACTTCATACATGTGCTTAATTCCCAAAAAAAAAAAAAAAAAAACTAAGAGCAGCTGCAACGCTGGATACGTCAAGGTCCTTAGCATATAATCCTTAGGTTATATGAATATAATACTATTATTTACTCTAATCAAATTAAGGATCAATCCTTGGAAAAGGATTTAAAGAGGCTGATCCTTATCTACGTGGCAGTGGGAATTTTAGGAGGAGAGTAGTTTCGATGGTTCCGAGAAGGAAAAGATCGCTAGCTCAGGCAACGGCCTTGAAGATTTTGCATCGATGGACTCTATCGAATTCTATGGAACCGGACTTGAATCAGAGGACGAGGAGATATCAGAGCATCATCGCCTGATCCGTACCGGTCGTGAGATCTCTGCGTCGAAAGAAGCAAGCATCTCGGCTCTGGAACAGCTCAAGACCTCTGCTATTGACAGTACGAGTCTCTGCCTTCCTCTGTCTCTCTGTTTCCCAAAGTTTGGATTTTTAACCAGTTATTCCACGTTTGATTTATGTTTGTCATCTTGGAGCTTGTTCTGTCTTTTTGTTTCTAAAAATTGGAACTTTAATGATCTCACCAATTAGCATCACAGAATCCTCCAAGAGATGCTAGTCCTGCAGGGTTAGTGCTTAAATGGGAACATGGTTGCTCTTTTAGCTAGACAACCCCATTTTGACATTTATAACTCCGAGATTAATATTTGCAATTTTTGGTTTTGCAGACTTTTGTCCATTGCAGAAGAAACTTTAGCATAGTTTCTTTCAAAGGCAACTGGAACCGCTGTTGAGTGGGTTCAGATGTCTGGAATGAAGGTATCTTGATTCTGTTTACTGCATACTATATGACATCAAAGAGTTATTAAACTTCTCTGTAATGGTTTGTTTTTATATATGTCATAACAGCCTGGTCCAGATTCCATTGGAATCATTGCTATTTCTTTTTTATTTTCCAGGTCGCAGAGATCGTCAAAGATCGGTCTTCATGGTTCCGTGAATGCCGAGCTGTTGATGTTATGAATGTGTTGCCAACAGCCAATGGTGGAACCATTGAGCTGCTTTATATGCAGGTTAGTACATTCAAGTCATATGTGCTAAATTTAAAATTATTTTCCAGTAGTTGAAAGTAAGTGACCATTTTTTCTCTTAACTATCTTGAAAATTATTGGTTCGTTTTGTATATTATTCACTCTCTTGAGAAATCTTTGTCTCCTTGATTTAGTTCCACCGCCAAACACATGAATGAAACGTGATTCCCACTAATCCACAGCATCGGCTTTCACATGGATTTATGAAAGTGAACTGCTTTTAGACATTTGTGTTCTGTATCTAAGTGTTTTATTGTCCCTTTTTCTAATTCTTAAAGAGTTCATAAGAAGAAGTGTCATTGACTCTGTTTATTGTTGTTTACTTTACAGAAAAGTGAGTTGAAGGTGAAGGACTGTCCTTTTGCATATGGAGGAATCAACAATCCATGAGATAAGCAATATGTTCACACAACTAGCTTCCCTGGTTTCTCAGCAAGGGGAGATCGCTATCAGGTTCGTCAACACCAAACTGTGTGTACGAATGATTGAACATTTGAGGGAAAGAAATAATAGTGTGTTGTTGAAAATTGGTTTTGTTTCATGTTATATTTTCTTATAGAAATGTTCGTTTGAGGGAAAAGAAGTAATAGATAAAGTTTTAAATTTACATGTTTTACAAATTTTATAAATTTTAATTTCTAAGATTCAATTCAAAAAAAAAAAATCTAAGGATTCCATAACGGATAACACCATTGGACATACTTTTATGATAAGAGTCCTTAACTATTCAAAAAAATAAAAAATAATATTTTAGTGTTAAGGACTCCAATGGTGGGGAACACCATTGGAGTTGCTCTAAGTACCATACACTTACTCAGAAACTCTATAGATCAAACCAACCTAACTACTGCAACCATTCGCAAACAGACTTTCTGAAAAAAGTAAATCTATATATAGTTTCAAGTCCACTCTTGCTATCGCCAAATACAGTTTACGTTCAACAAACGCAAACACATGTCACGCCTAAACATCCATATACGAGAATTTACTAACCATCAAATTCATAGTAACAAAAATAATTTGTAAGAGTTGAAGACCAACAAAGAAACGTGAGGCTTGGCTGTAGTAAATCCTTATGTTGGAGGATATGTCAAAGAAAGGTTCAAGGAAATAACATCAATGGTGAGGAGCTCATGTTGGAGGAGGGGAGCACGTGCAAATTACATGAGACACATCTCGTATTTGTTGGTTTGCACGTGCCCTGCTTCTCCAACGTGGAAGTTCTCACCCGCATTTCCAAGAAGATATGTGATGTTTTGTAATATGAGGAGGTCTGGTTTATGGAAGCTTTGTATTTATAGGCCCAAATATTGCATTAATGGAACATATATACATATATATATACGAATATGTATGATGCATATTGGCGTGAGTGTGTTTTACGTAAGGCAAAAGAACCATGCCATGCCATGATGGCATCTCACGCAAAAGAAGGGGTGATGAAGAAAAGTGAGAGAGTGTGAGAGCTAAAAAGAAACTAGGTCTAAACAAATACATTGTCTAATACTTGCTAATGAACAAGCTTTCTTCTTCATAAAATTGTTTTTTTAATTGTGGGTCTTGTCTGTCCTAAATTTCACAAGCTCTACATAAACCGTAGGTGTACCATATAAAGTGTCGTTTGCGGGATCCTATGCAGTCTGTCACGCTTTGACAAGCAATATCTTAGGCCTACCTCTCTACTAATCTTATAGCATCTACTCTATGGTAAGAAACATAATATCCTCTTATACATCCGTTAAAATTTATCTAGTTTTTTTTTTGTTATAGAAAAGATTTCAAAAAAAAAAACGAAACAAATGCTATGAAGTATATCGGAATGCTAGTATTAAAAATTATAATTTTGGGTGTTTATCGATTCTATTATATTTTATAACATATATGAAGATAATTGCTTCTAACTAAGTAACTAAGAGTGATCGATACTAATAACGTTGCTATGTGTCCAAATATTCGACTACTCCCGAAATATATGCAAATTTTTTTCTTATTCAGCCAAAATAAAATTAATCACGATTCATTAAAATACAACTGATATCCTGTAGTTACCTATTTAATTACCTCTAATCTACATTTTTTTGTTTGTTTGTTAAAGCTACCGCTAATCTACATTGCATTTCCTTAAGTTATCGTAGTAGTGTTTTCAAAAAAAAGTTATTGTAATACTTTTGAAAGCCTTTACATTCAAATATGAAATTATATATACACTTTCTCTCTGTCGTTTATAATGCATACATAAAATGTTATCATAGTTTTCTATATATCATGATGACAATGCCAAATCATAAATTTATAATAGGAGACTCATTTGAATTAATATCATATACATGTGTGTGAGAGAGAAGGATCAAAAAGGGGGATGGTGGGTCGTCAAAGACTGTTGGGGGCAAAAGAAGAGAGGAATAATGAAAGAGTGCACATAGGGCTTTGCGTGTTGGCCTAACTTTCTCTAACACTAAAGAAAAACATTCAAAATATGATGAGGCCCCTATGTTGATATCATTCCTCCATCTCACATTAATTGTGTATAGTATTTGGTCTATGTATATATACTGTATAATCCTCGACGCTGTGTAAACATAGACTCTGGATAGGTAAAATATGATCCGTAGCTTGTGGTCTTACTAAGTTACAATCTAGTTAAAATGCTATATGATAGTTAAAGAGCATAATCGATCGGAGAATGTTTAAAGCTATCCAATACTTGTGCATATAGTATAGTGACATCAAATGTACATGTTTAGAGTTCACCTATTGTGAAGAATTATTAACATGTACATGCATTGAGTACATTCAATTGAGAGTTTGAGGTGAGTATATTAAATAACAATTTTTTTGTTATTGAAAAATAAATTTTAATAAATTATTTAAAATTCACAGTTATTGAGGTTGATATTTTATAAAATACTATGAAATTCATCGTTATTAAAAGTATTTTAAATCATTAGGTTTTAAGTTATTTCAAGTGATTTTAAAATGTTAGAATGAAATTTCTTAGTAAAAGAAAAATCTCAATCACATGGCTTTAGATGATATTTTAGAATATTTTCACAAAATTATACTAACGTTTCCAATTCATATAGATCATCTAAAAAACTGATTACAAATCAATTCACTTTAAATTTTAGATTCCTCAAGCCCTGTAGTTTTGACTAATAACTACTAGGGGGAAAAGATAGTGATTAATTGTAAATATATAATAACATATAGTATTATAAAATCATGATTTATAACATCAGTTGAGAAACTCCGGTGTTTAGACATGCATCTACATCTTTTAACATATTCTCTCTGTTCAAAAAAAAAAATTAAGGTACTAAAACACACATATATTAAAAATTAGCTAAAACACATCTATAAATTAAAAACTGTCAATTAGTAAATAGACTATAAGATATAATTAATTACAAGATGTTAATATAGTTAAAGTTTACATAAGATATGAAACATATTTTTCTGAAAAAATATGAAACATACATCTTAAATATCAAAAAAAAATAAACATATTACATTTCGGAATGAATGGAATACTATAATAAGCTTTGGGCGATGATTAAAACAAAAATAAGAGGGAACTGCAGCAAGAAGTGAGTGCGATGCACGAATTAGATGGTGTCACCCAGAGAATAGATGAATCAGCAATTGTAAGAAATCTTTTGACTTGTAAAAGGATGAGGAGACAGAGAGGTCTGACAATGAAGTCATCACTAAATCTATAAACACATTAAAGCTTACGTGTCCGTATCACACTCGTGTTTCCTACTATAAATGCTTACTCTCATTAAATATCGGGGACATTGTCTAATGAATGCTTTAGTTTTGTGGTTCGGTAACTTAAATGCATATATGGAGTTAGTCCAAAAATCTCATAAGGAGTTCCAACCAAGACAGAGCTCAGCTCATTCAGTTCTCTAGACGACGCACGAGTGTTGACCTTAGCTAAAAAAACCGCTGACGCCATCAGCAACAAAGAAAAAACAGCTACACAACAAAGACTTTTCTTTGACCAATCCAACATCACATAATGATTGCTTACTGTTTTATTTTTCTTGATCCAGAATACTACAAGAATTCATAAACACACAGCATCACATAATATGATGTATATGCTCTTTCCTTGAAACGCTTCCAAATCATTTTTATTTCGATGATCAACTTTGACATAAGAGTAGCTTCCTGTGTTATATATATATGATTTGATAGAATCCCGTTATCTTCTATGGTTTTTGAAAGCGAGAATGTTGAGTTGTTTAGTCAGTTGTTTAACAACTCCAATGAGGTGGACACGAAGCTTAATTGTTTGGATGAAAAGTTAGATGATTGTAATATAGATTCTAATAGAAAAATCTCTAACAAAACAAAAAAGAAGAAATAAGAAGTGGGCATTCACTGACAGATACAAAGAACAAGATAGGGTGTTTATTTCTTAGCATAGGTGATGCGCATTGGTGTCTGGTGAATGGTGAAACCTTCAAGACCTTGCATAGCAACTGTAGAGTGCATCTCATCAGCGAACTCAACAAAGGCAATACCAGGCTTGGCAGCAACCATCCTAACCTCCTTGAAGCCATGGTACTTGTCGAAGAGATTCTGAAGCGTCTCTGGAGTTGTGTCATGGGGAAGGTGTTGGACAAAGAGGATGTTGTTTGGGGGTGCGGGTGCCTCTGGAAGATTGCTTTTGACACCACCACCACCACCACCACCAGGGTATGGTACTTGAGAAAGCTGTGGGGGGTCAAATTAAGAGGAAAAGGATTAAAAAGAGAATGAGAGTGAATGTGAGAAAAAGAGAAGGAGGTGAATGACTCACAGGAGGTGCAGATCCATAGACACCAGGATATGGTGGCATGGCCAAGCGTGTAGAATCATGGTGCTGCTCTTTCTTTTTCTTACCACCTGCAATTATTCATGGACAACATTACTTGCTGTTTGTTAATAAAGGGTTGGAGAAGCAAAGATATCACAAAGTACTGAAGGATGCTTGACACTAGAGTATGTGAATATGATGTGACTACTAATTGATCAATGCACAGTTGCCCAAAACAAAGGAGGGAAGGAAGCAATGCAAAGAAAAAAAGAGAGAAACAAGTGTGACACGCACGCACGCACCTTTCTCCTCGTGTCGCTTTCGTTTCTCACGAGGAACAAAAGTACCATCAGCCTTGGCAATAACATCTGATTTTGTTTTTGCAAAATGTATTCTCTGCCAAAGAAAGAATGATTGATTGATTGATGATATCATTAAGTAAGAGATCATTTTTTTTCTAGGCAAACTTCAACAAAAGGGGTAAACGATTTTCCACAACCTAAAAAATCCCCAACCTGCAAGCAACCAGTAACACCCACCTTTGTATCTAACTATCTATCTATCTATATGACAAAGGCTCCCTAGAGTGAAATCAAAACCCTAATCATATATATTATGGGTAAAAGGCATCTCAATGATTCAAATGAAAAAAAGGGGGTACCAACCATGGGTTTGTCGTAGAAGGGGAATCCATTCATCTTAGAAATAGCATTGGAAGCAGAATCGGGATTGTCGAACACAACCCAAGCTTGTCCTTTGTGCTTCAATGTCTTAAACGCCAACACCTCCACTATCTTCCCGAACTGCGAGAACACTGCGTTCAGCGACTTCTTCAGCTCTGCAACCAATCCAATCCATTAGTCATAAGAACATAATAATAATCGGGGAGCAGAAAATCATATATTATATTACCATCGAGCTTCACTTTTTCGTTGAGATTGTTGATGTAAATCGTCTGGTTTGGAGTTGCCTCCGGTCCAGCTTTATTAGCTGCCGCCGCCGCCTCATCCTGCATCATCATCTCCATTGCAACTTCTCTAACCCTTCCCTCCGCCCGATTTTGAGAATTGCGGAGATTTCATTGAACAAACAAAAAGTATTCGTGAAGCTCTAAGCCCACTAATTAGCCCAAGCGTTCCGTTTATAGGCCCATTTGTTAGCTTATTTTGGATCACGTACCTTTTTAATAATCGCTAAATTACAATGATTCACCTGCAAAAGCTGGAAGATTATGGTATCCTTCCTTATATTTAGATAGCTATCAATCACGGTCAACATGTATGTGTACATGAGATATTTTGATTGATTTCTATATTTCCCATACAACTTTATCCCAACTTGGGGTATGTTTTGACCAATCGATGAATTTTATCTTGTTCATCAAATCAATACTCGATCATTATCACCTTTTTCTCTCTAATTTTTATTTGTTACATGCACAATAATAATAATTCAAATAAAGTTACCCCAACATGGCAACAAATTGAATACGATCGCCATTTCTACGCCCGCCGTAAGAGCAAACGCAGTGGATACAAAACCAACTGTACGTGTGTACATCAACATCAACATACTATTTAGAATAACATTTACATCAAACTTATTGTAGATTTATAATTAATAGTTGTAATGGTGTTCAACATCAAGAGTGGAAAAAAGGGGAAATGAAAAAAAAAAAGTGAAGGCAACTAATAAGAGACGAGCAAAATCATTTAACTAATTTTAGGATGAGGACCCATATTGTGTGTACGCGCGAAATATTATTTGATCATATAAAAGTTAAGTTATAAATTAAGATGAGATTATAGTAAACATCATTAAGCAATATAAGCTTTAGTGTTTGAGTTTTATTTTAAAATGCATGTTATATTTGGGAAAATCCGAATATCCCATGCGAGTGTTATTATATTTGAATGACGCAAATGCCAAAGTCTGTTATATATACATTGTAGACCAATGTTATTGAAAGTAAAAACAAGACAGGAAAAGGCGTAGAGCATTAAGGTCTTTGTCAATTTGTAAAACATAATTAATAAAAAAATTCCAACGGAAACCCAAATCATAGCCTCTTTACGACAAAACACTTATTAGGTTCTGATGTGTAAAAATGGTCTCAAAGCCATATTCTGAAAATGACTCAAAGCTAAAGAATTAAAAGCTTTAATTGATGTAAATATATATAAAGAAAAAGAAGAAAATAAATATTCATTTGTAAAAACCAAGAAAACAAGTGCAAGATCCATCAAAGCAAAGGAGGAGGACTATCTCTTAGCATCTAAGCAAGCACATTTCAATGACACATTGACATTCCTCTGTGTCTGTTAGTTTAGTCATGATTTTTTCCAGTTCATATTTAAAATAAATCAGGCACGCATTGCGTTATATCATTCCCTGTTTTTGCCACATATATATAAAACTGTACAACTGCATATATAGATATAATCGATGTTTGGTATTACGATATACACAACCATCATAATAGCTAAATATGATATGCGATCATATATGGATGCTTATTTGTGGTTGTGGAGATTGGCTTTGTGTTGTCCCATATATCCTTTGTGTTTTAACGTTATATATTCTATCTAGTACATTTTTAATGCAAGAAAATTGGTGAATGAATGCTCAAGTAATTTTCCAAAAGACTGAGTAGTCACAAGCGGGTTCAAAAACTTGTAGACTTTCTTTTAGGCGTATGACTCTTTGATAAAGATTTATGAAGAAAGTGGCAGACACATTTCCGTATTGACCCAAAAGGAAATTAGTTTCCAAAACACTTACAATAATTATGACACACCAACTTCCAGTTGTGATTACTAGTAATTCATTAAGTTTACTGTGTAATACATTATACTTAATTTACATTGATATTTTTCATACTTTTGTTGATTGATGTGTTGTACATGATACAATCCCATAAGGGATTGTTGGTCAAACACACAAAACAACACACACAATTAGTTAAATATCAAAAATATACAAAAAAACTTTATAGCAAATAAAAAAAAAAGAACAGAAAAGAAAATAATATGAAATTTTGGTTTGTAATATTAGTTGCCATAGCCTATATAAATAAGGGGATCTAAAACCCCATAGACATAATAAGCAGCTACTCTCTCTCTCTCTCTCTCTGCCTAAACCCTTCCCTTTTAATATATTCAAAGTCTTTCTCTTTCTTAAGGAAGTAGGAACAATGGGAATCGGAGAAGAAAGCAGCAAGCCAATGCTGGGGAGCATCAGCCACGCGTCTCCAAGCCACGCTCTCAGTGGCAAAATCATGATATCCTCTGTGATCATCCTCTCCTTCGCCCTTATTATGATCATCTGCTTCCACAGCTACGCAAGATGGCTCTTCCATCGTCAAAACCGTCGCATTCGCCGCCGTATTCGTGCTCACCTCCTTTCTCTCTCGGCATCCTCCTCCCTCTCCCCTCTTGATCCAGCGGTCCTCGAGAAGATTCCCATCTTCGTTTACTCCTCGGAGACTCATCATCAAACGCCACTGGAGGAGTGTTCCGTTTGCTTGTCGGAGTTCGAGGAAGACGACCAAGGCCGTCTCCTCCCGAAATGTGGTCACTCTTTTCACGTCCATTGCATCGATACTTGGTTCCGTTCCAGTTCCACTTGCCCGCTTTGCAGAGCTCCGGTTCAACCCGAAAATATGTCTACACTACCTGAATCCACTGAACAAACCACTCCGGTTAAACCGGTCGAGGACATAGAAACCGGAAGTTCTTCTTCTTCTTCCTTTTCTTCATTTTCGTCGTTGAGGTTTCCTATGGAGGCGTGTGAGAGAGAACCTATCGATTTAGTTGGTCTCATGGTGGAGATTCCCACAGAATTAGAAGGCTCTAAACCGGGTGTGGCTTGTGGGCCAAGAAAGGAAATTTAAATATTTTTGCCAAAATCGCTTGAAATTTCAACACGTGGCACTAATGTCGGACCATTAAACTTTCATTTATTCAGTGTTAATTAGTCTCTTTGAAAGTTATAACCCGTTGATTTTTAATTCCGAAAAGATGAGTCGGTTATGAATATTGCAGCTAAAGTAGTACTAGTAATTTATTAACACAAACAAATCGTAGTCATTGTTGGAATGGGAATCAGATCAGACACCACTAAGTTAAACTGACCCGATTTCACAATTATTTAGAGAAAATATAACACATGAATAATATTAAATGAAATAAGTAACTAACATACATAGTGTTATGTTATAGTATAAAGTTAAATTATGCAATCAGTCCACCCACGAAAGGCACCCCGGTTTGTCCGATCCAACCTTCGCCAACAAGGAAATTGGTGACGGTGAAATTTGAAGCATCAGAAGCGTTAATGACATGATAACCTGGCCAAGTGACTCTGTTTGTCGTGTTAGAACCAGGTCCCGTGTTATTGTATTCCGCATAGTAAAGTGTGCTCAATGCGAAATTTCCAGACCATGCGTTCCAGCCAGTTGGGTCAAGAAACCCATCGATGTAAGTCTGCATCACAACGGTTCTCGAATATTCCTTCCACGGTCGACCAAGATAAGTTTTTACTATATAGCTGCTCGAAGCCAAATCATCCGCGGGTCTTATCGTACACCCATGTAACACAGTTCCGGTGTTCTGGTTCGGGTCGGTACGGCCTTGAGCTGTAACCTCGTTCGCCTGACCTTGACGAGGCTGACGTGGATACAAATTACACTTTTGTAATACCACTGCAGCATTACCGAATATAAAGTCAACCGTACCATAAACATCACATTCGCGATAAAACTGCCTGAGAGAATGCGTATATAAGGTATCTTGATAGGCTTCAAAACTACAACTATAGAAGACAGAGAAGTCTCCACCGCTCCTCAATGCGACAGCTTGACCCTTGGTTGGTCCTGCCGTGTTGCGGATTGTTATGTTCACTCCAATAAAGTTAGGACCTGATACAACTGCGATTTGTGAACAAAATGTAGAGTTAGTTGATTGATTATTTCATTAATGAAACAAAGCTACTATATTCAAAGTAAATAGGATTAGTTGGTTAGCGCGTGTGGGATGGGATCTATTAGAAATGATTAAGTTATATGGAAATAAATAAAAATTTTGATTAGTTTAATGGATTATGGTATTAGGTTAGTGGAAGACACAACGAATTGACGTGGAGTCAAGACTTTCGGTGGACCATCCGACCAAGTCGCCTTCTATTGCATGGCAAAAGTATATATTAAAAACGAAGTGGACTTGCAATAATTTTTAAAATGTTTTTGCTGGTTAAAAATATTGTGTGTCAAAATAGTTTTTCTTTTTCTAAGACTCTAATTATAATATGCCTTCATCATATTTTCAAATAATTGTTTACTTTGGGTTTGTGGTGACCAAAGCTCTAATTATAATATGTTCATCCAATCTAAGCCACATATTATGTTTTAAAGAACGAAAACGAATTGTTTTTACTATATAGATTGACTTTTACGTTTATGTTTTAATTATTTATAAATATGAAGTACCACTTACTAAATGTAGCGGACTTGAAAGTGGTCCATCCATCAACGACGCTCCGGTTTCCGGTGATAACAGTTTGGTTAATGCCGTCACCAATCATCATCACATACCTCTTGTACTTAGGAATCTCCACGTATTCCTCGTACAATCCCGCCGTTACGTAGATCAGGAAATAGCCGTTACTACCGTCAGTTTTATTAGGCGCAGCAGCTACAGCTTCGTTTATAGTCGTGAAGTTTCCCGTGCCATTCTGATTCACCGTCACTATATCGCTGACCTGAACAGCGTCTGCTCCAGTTTGGAGCAGCTTTCTCCCAGACCTAGTCACGGTGTTGTAAACGGCACGCGTCTTTTCCGTCATCTTTAACGGTAATCTACCATTACGGAAACCGGAAAACCTTTTGAAGCTGGTTTCTGGTTTCCAAACAGGCCTCGATCTTTTCCTTTTTGGCACCCAACCTACAAAGTGAGAACACCAATTTATAATTTCATGTGACAGTGTTAACAACACATATATCTCAAAAATGCCTATTCAGCTAGAGATTATTATTCTACATTTTTGTTGTTGTTAGTAGGTCAGTGTGGAAATCCTTTCTAGAAATAAAACGTCAATCCCACACGCATGTAGAACTAAAATGCGAATAAAATGCAGATATCGTGTGCCACATTATAGAAAATTACATGCTAAGTTGTTCATAATATATATATATATGGATAGGATGATACGTGCATGTTTAAATATTTATTTATTTATTACATACCTTTGGAAAAGAGGGCAAGAGAGACCCCATAGAGTTTTGTATCGTTGAAAAGATCACCGGAGAGACCATTTTCAGAGGCCGTGGATTTAAGTCCTTCGAGACAAGTCTGTTCGTTGGTGATTGCAGCACTTAGAAATGTATGAACATCATCGGCCCTAGAAACCGAAAGCGTTTTGGTGGCATCTACGGTCTGTGAGCTACTAAGGAGGAAGTCTATAGTCAGGCTGGCTAGGAATTTGCAGTCTTCGAGTGCCCGCACGGTGGATTTAGCTGCCACTTTGCCTTTCCGGTTTAGTTGATTGTCGATCATTGTGATGAAACGCCTGGCACGTGAGATGGACCGTCTGAGAGAAAAACGGCCGTAGGAGTAAACATCTCCCGGCTGGTTTGGGAGAACTGATCTACAGTAAGATGGATCTGGTGCGTAGCGACATACATTTGATGGGGACGTGGCGTTTCCGGTGGCCTGAAGTCCTGCGGCGAGGGAAGGAGATGACAATAAGGAGAGGAAGCTAAAGGTGACCAAGAACGTGAGAATTTGAGACATCTTTTGATTTCTTTTTAAGAGCTTAATTTGTTGTGTGTTCGGTTTGAGAAATTGTGTTAATTGTGTTGGATTATTTATACGGTTTGAAAGACGTTGATTTTTGAATACATACAAGTTCAAGTCAATAATTGTGTGTGTACATCTATAATTGTGACGGTGTCACAAAGTTCAAACATATATATCATATTGTTATTGTAGTATTCACACGTAGAGAGATCAGTTTCTTACTAAAACGATTAGACAAATAATTACCGTAACTAAAGCGTAATTAAACTACATCCTTGAGAATCACAAATTGGTGTTCAAGTTGAAGATTAGTTGATCTTTTGATGACTTTACTTGTATAATAAAATTTTGACCAACTTCTATATTTTCGCATATATAATTGTCAACCAACGTTAGGCATTTCAAGAAAAATTTCGACTATATATATAACATGTTGGTAAAACAGCACATTACACATCGACTAAAAGTCAAGATCTTGACATTCCAAACTTTGATAGACTCAGACTATTGCAAATTGAATTCGTTTTACGACTTTACCTTATGCTTTCTCGGAAGTTTCTTTCCATGCATATGAGAGTAAATGAGATAAACGAAAATTTCGACAACATGTTTTGGGATCCAAAATAAATTCGCCAAACCAAATGTACATACATATATTTTGTTGCCAACAAACGATATTGTTTATTATTTTGATATATAATTGTAACAGCTTCAATTATTGATCAATTAATTAACTAATCTTGTCGCATTAAATTGGCTGGGTATAAAACTTTTGTTTTTGTGTTAAGACTTAGTTAGACGACAGCCAGGAGATACATATTTGGATATGTTTGTATAAACAATAACACGAAATCGCATTAGTGTGAATAGAATGTACTAGTACATATCAATATCGTTTTCTTTTCTGATAATTGAATTCATTAGCTAGCTACGCATATATTTGGCCGAATTCACTAGCTAGCTACACATTTGTGCGTATATTTTTATTTTATGAAAGTAAAATTTTGATGTTATCCCCTATATATTAATTGAGAAACATTTGAAAAGATGTAACCTCAAGTTTGTATTAATTAAAAAGTAACCTTGCTTAGTTGTCAATCAATTAGCATATCAATTAAACTGACGTGTCGGCTTTAGGTTCAATTGAAATTTGCTAGGGAAAAATAATTAGAGACGCATATAACGCATGTAACATAGTTTATATATTTATATATATCGCACACATGAATTGGAAGAAAAGGAAAATATACGATTTGATAACGATTTGCATATATTAACTATAATAACTTCATTCCTTTTAATTTATGGAAGTGTATATGTAAAATGGAAAATACTTAAATTCAAATAATCATAACGTAATTTATAAATCATTGGTGTAAAGTTTTGTTACACAAATATGCAAATAATCATAAAATCATATGAGTAGAA